TTTTAGGTGCTCCATAAGTGCTGTCTGGGCGGTATTTATATCGGCTCCTTAAATAAGAGCTGCCATCTGAGCCCGACGCGCCTGCTTAATTATTAATGCCCCGCAGGGAAGCAGCATGCATGCATGCCTGCCTGGTCCTGGCCCACCTTCCCTCTGGGATCCTGCATCCCGGGTCCCCCCAGCTCCCCACCAGCACCCAGGGTGAGCTATGACAACCCAGCCACTCCAGGGCATCCTGGCTTCCCATGGGAACACATCCCGTGGGGGAGCATCTTCCTGGGGACTGGGAGGAAGGCTGTGGGGAGATTTTACAAGTGGAGGATGGTGTGGCATGGGTATTACAGTGGTTGTCAGTGGGTATTAGGGATAAGGGGATGGTGGGATGGGAGTTTTCCCATCTCATCTCCGGCTTGAGGTTGTTCCAGGGAAAACCATCCCTGGAAGCCCTGAGGGATAGGGGCAGCCCTGCTTCATGGCAGGGCTTATGCTAAACAGCATGGGAGGGCAGCTGCTGCAGCAGAATTAATTTGGGCTCAGAAAGTGCTTTGAAAGGCTGAGATGAAAGGCCAGGACTGGGTACAAAGCACAGCAGCTCTGCAGACGGGGGGAAGGAGCTCTTTGCAAAGCACCCTCAGTGTGGCATCAGCCCCAGCAGCCATGGCTCCTCCACCACCTCCTGCCCCAGGTGAGGCAGTGTTCCGGCTCTAGGGTGTTTGAGGGAGGGCTGGTGAACCCCTGAGCTCACCCAGGTGTTGGTTGTGGGGTCCTTCCTTGGGGTTGGTGTGACCCTCCTGCTCTAGTATGTGGCAGGGTGGAGGGTGCTGGGCTGGGACCGAGCTGAGAGGCTGGGCAGGGCTGATGGTGGGTGCAAGGGGAGAGGGGACACCTTTGGCCTGCTCCTGGGGTGTTCCCTTGCTGTGTGACACAGCCAGGCTCAGGGCAACAAGGTGGAAAAGGAGCCAGGGGCCACAGTGCTGGGGTGCTGGGGACAGGCAGTCTGGCCCAGCAAGGATTCAGGCAGGGAGGACATGAGGGCACTGTTGTCCTGCAACCTCAGGGAAGGGAACACTGAAAACAGAGATTTCCTCAGCTTGTGTTTCACCAGCACAACTGCAAGAGTCGCAAAACTGCTTCCCTGGGCAGCCAGCACCTTCCTCAGCGTAACTCAAGCAGCAGGAGTTGGGCAGCAGCACTTGGGGTGAGCACCCATGCAGGGAGCCCTGGAGCTGTACAGGAGCCTGGGAAGCACAGTGGCCCAGGGAAATGCCACCCTGTGTCCCCTGTTCTGCCCAGCTTTGCCACCCACTGGCTGAAGACACGCAGGACCCCAAGCACTGGGTCACTGTTGGTGTAAGGTGAGGCAGATGTGGCAGTGCCCCCGTGGTGACATCCTGTGGTGTGGGGACAGGCTGGGACACTTGCACCACCTGCAGCCCCCATGGCATCCCCCTTCCTCCAAGCAAGCAGACATGGAGGGAAAGGGCAGATGGGAAGGGGGACACAGCGACTGCACTCCCACAGCAAGTAAGGGGTGAGGATTTCTGGCTCCATTTTCAGAGCAGTCAGCAGCTAAAACCCAAGCAAACCTCCAAGTCACAGAGAATTTCCTGCCTTCCCTCGCTGTGTCACAAGGCATTGACGAGACGCAACGGGTAAAGCAAGAAAATGCAAAGAGAAAGACTCGTCTTCCAGGCCACAGGAATTAACAAAGTGGCACATTTGAACGCGCCGAAGTATTTTTAATCCCGTAGGCAGAATCGAGGTTATTAGGTTTTTCTGGGACATCTGCAGAACAGACCCCGTATCCTTTGGGTCGTCGTGATTTCCCAACCCAGCAGCCGCCCCAGGCTCTCACCAAGGGGTGTCTGTAGCCACCAGATAGAGGTGGGAGAAGGAGATTTAGTGATGTCCAGCCAGGTGACACCTCCAGCTGCCCACCAGAAGCTTCTAACTCAGCCCTTTCACCATCCAACCTTCAACCCCCCCCGCTGCCCTGGCTGTAAAATAGAGGAATTAGTTGTTGTGAGGGGTGTTGATTTATGCATGGGAGCCCCAAAAGGGGGCTGGATCCACTGCAGATAAATATTACAGCCAGACTGCTATTCTGAAGAATTTACAGCATTATGAATATCCTGTTCTGACCTGTGATGGGGAAGAAAATCATCTGCGTTAGGAAATGTATTTATGGCTCTGGTGCTTTGACAGGAATAAATCACTATTTGCTCGTTTTGGGGCAAAAACAGGGTCACTGTAAATCGGCAGAGCTGAGCTGGCTGAGAACCTGCTGGGTTTATGGAAAATACTAGATGGGAGTCATAACGTTTGTATGGAAACGCAACAGTTTTTATTGGGACTGTTGATATATTTGGAGAAATCAAAGGATCTTCCAGATGCACAAGTACTTCTTCAGGTCCAGGCTTGTGTCCAGTATCGTCCAGGAGAACCCAGGAATTGTAGCTAAAGTATAATATTATTTATTTTCCAAGATAGGAGGTTGCATATATCCAACCCAAATGTAGCAGCACCACTCCAAAGGGGACTGAGCAGGAAGTCTGCTCTGATCCATACGCAGAGATCTGATAGTCCTGCTTGGCTTGGATGATGCCCCAAGGAATTTGTAGGTACCTCCAGATTATTGATTAGAAATGGCAGCAGCAGCTGAAAAAAACAATTTGAGGACCAAACTCCTCTAATATTCTCTTGTATTCCTCACTTTTCCACTCAAATTCTCTCCCAAAGCTGGCATCAGAGAGAAAACAACACAACCCCTCTGCGGAGCTCTCCAGAGATGACGGCGAGCCCCCTCAGGAGAATGAATGAGCCTTTATCAGAGGAGAGGAATAAACTGCCCTTGTCCATGGGAGCTCTCCTTGGGATGGCTGGGGCAGTAAACAAAAGCCAGGCACAAAGGCTGTTCTCACTCTGGAGCCACGTGCGCTGAGGGGTGTGAGGCCGGGGATGCGAGCAAGGAAGACAGTGTTTGATTTTGCAGAGGAAATGCAGAGGATCTGGGCGTGTTTCTGGTTTTATTTATCAGAGGGGGGGGGATTTCTTCTGTCCTCGGAAGCCATAAACAAAGAAGGATTTTGTGTTAAACGAATCCAGGCAACACGATTCTCTGGGGTTTTTTTTGTAAAGCAGTGCTAAACCTACAATAAAGACGGAGATCTCACCCCAAAAGGGTGTTGCTTGCCATCATTAAGCACCACCAGCAGCATTCCCAAACCAGTTTGTCCCCTCCCATGTGGGTGAGGCTGTGGCCATGGGTTTTGGACAGCCACAGCAGGCTGTGGCTACAGCACTGCCCTGAGGACACCGGCAGTCCTGGTGCCACCAAGGGTTCCTGTGAGGTTTCAGAAGGAAACCTCAGGGCATGGGGATCAGCAAGTGGGATGGCTGAGTGCTCTGAGATCATCCTGACACCTCCCAGAGCATCTGCATGGGGACAGTGGCATCAGGAAGGGCCAGGGACACGTGGCATGTAAAGAAGGATGGTGTTTTCCCATGCACCAGCACTGCCTGGCTCTCTCCAGGCAGGATAAAGTGCTTCCATTGGGATCAGCACAGTGCCATTCATTAGACATTAGACCCCTTTCCTTTCTCCCAGTGCCACAGCGTCCTCTCAGTGTTGCTTTATCCACAGGCTTTTTAGAAAAACAGGAGACATTAAACCCTGTTCCTTTCTCCCAGTGCTGCAGCCTCCTCTCAACATCACTTTATCCATAGGTTTTTTAGGAAAGAGGGATGTCTTATGGCTCCAAATGGTGCTCCTCACGCAGCAGGAGCCCTGCATGGCTGGAGCAGACATGTGCTTTTATCCCATGGGTTATTGATGAGCAAGTGCACTGTGTGCCCAAGCTGGCTACCATCAATTATCTAGCATTGCTCTCCACTGGGAATGCTCTCCTCCATGTGTCGGGGCCCCAGCCCGTGGCAGGGGAAAGGGGGTGGGGGAAAGCAGGGGTTTGCCCCAAGATATGTCACCAGAGCCTGGCCCAGCACCATCACAGCATCACAGACCCCAGGCACAGCACCACAGGCAGGGTCTCCATGGAAGGATGGTTCATGCCTGGGCTGTGAGTGGGACTGGGATGGGGGGGGGTCTGGGTTGTGAGTGGGATCGGGATGTGAGTGGACCTGGGTGGGTCGTGAGTGGGTCCAAGCTGTGAGTAAGTCTGGGCTGTGGGTGGATCTGGGTCGTGAATGAGACCAGGCTGTGAGTGGGTTCGGGCTGTGAGTGGGTTTGGGCTGTGAGTGGATCTGGGCTGTGAGTGCATCAGGGTTTTGAGTGGGATCTGGTTGTCAGTAGGACCAGGCTGTGAGCGGGTTTGGGCCGTGAGAGGGTCCAGGCTGTGAGTGTGACCAGGGTGTGAGCAGATCAGGGCTGTGAGCAGGTCTGGGCCATGAGTGGGACTGTGCTGTGAGTGGCTCTGGGTTATGAGTGGGCACAGGCTGCACATGGTGTGTGTGGCCTGTGAGTGTGTCCAGTCCGTCAGTCCAGCCCGTGAGCGGGTCAGGGCAGTGATGGGACCAGGCTATGAGTGGGCACGGTGGGCACGGGCTGTGTGTGGTGTGCGTGGGCTCTGAGCGGGTCCAGTCTGTGAGCCCACGCTGCGAGCGGGTCAGGGCTGTGGTGACACCAGGCTGCGAGCGCGCCCCGTGCCCCGCGCTGCCCCGCACCACGACCAGCTCCCCCCATCCCGCGGTGTCCCCCGCTGGGTCCCCCCTCGCCCCCGCTCCCCCCGGCCCCGGCCGCGCCCTCCGCGGCCCACCCGGGCCGGGCCCCGGTGAATCAGCACGGGCGGGGCCCGGCGGGGCGAGGGGGGCGGGGCCCCGCCGCGAGGCATCACGGGAGATGTAGTCCTTGCAGTGCAGACAGCTCAGTGTAATCCCGGTACCGTCCCCGCCCCGCGGACTCCATCCCCCGCCGTGCCTCGCGCGCGCGCGGGGTGGGCGGGGCGGCGAAGAGGGGCGGGGCGGGGCGGGGCGCGCGCAGGGGGGTTGTGGTGGCCCGCGGCGCGCGCACAGCACCGGGCGCAGCCGCCGCCGCCGGAGCCGCCTCAGCCGCAGCAGCGCCCAGACCGCCGCGCCTGCCTGTCCTCCTCTTCCTCCTCCTCCTCCTCCTTCCTTCCTTCCTTCCTTCCTTCTTCCTCCTCCTCCTCCTCCCGGAGCCCGCAGCCTCCTCGCCCCCTTCTTCCCCCCTTCCCGGACCCCGCGAAGATGGTGGACCGCGAGCAGCTGGTGCAGAAGGCCCGGCTGGCCGAGCAAGCCGAGCGATACGACGACATGGCGGCCGCCATGAAGAACGTGAGTCCCGTCCCGCGGCCGTCGGGCTTCCCCCGCTCACACACGCACACACACACACACACACACACACACAGACGCGCACACAGCTCCTCCTCCTCCTGCCGCCCCGCGCCCTCCCCGCGTGGCCCCCGCGGTGGGTGGGGGGGCTCGGGCGGGGGGGGCCGCGGGGGTGTGCGGGCCCCGGCCCCTCGCCCTCCCGACGCCCCCCGCCTGGGTCCCGTTCCCGTTGTCTTTCCCCGCGCAGGGATGCTCTGCTGTTCTCCCGATCTCCCCCCCCCGCCCTAGAGCCCCCCCCCCCCCCGCATCCTCTGCCCTGCACTAGAGCCCCCCATCCAGCGCCCCCGCATCCTGCTCCCTTGTTCTGGGGCTCCTCCCCTAGCCCCCCGCACCCTGCTCCCCTGCCCGAAACACCCCCCATCATCATCTCCCTTGTTCCGGCGTCCCCACCCAGTCCCACATATCCCCCTCTCTCTGCCCTAGAGCCCCCCCTTCATCCTCTCCCGTACTGCGGGGCCCCCTCTCAGCCCCACACATCCCCTTCTCTCTGCCCTAGAGCCCTCCCTTCATCCTCTCCCCTATTCTGGGGCCCCCACCCAGCCCCACACATCTCCCCTCTCTGCCCTAGAGCCTCCTCCCCATTCTCCCCCTGCCCTAAACCCCCATGCATTGCCTCCCCTGCCCCTCTCCCCTGTTTAGCTGCCCCCTGCCCTAGAGCACCCCCACATCATCTTCCCTACCTTAGAACCCCCACGCATTGCCTCCCCTGCCCTGCGGTCCCCCAACATCACCTCCCAGCCCCATCCCCTCTCTCCCCCCACACCAGGCCCCCCTGCCTGCCCCACACATCCTCTCCCATGCCCCCCTCCCTGCCCTGCCCTGGCATGGGGGGGCAGAGGAGCCAGCCCGGGGGTGTGGTGCTCCCTGGGGGGGTCACACCGGCTCGGGTCCCAGCGGGGGGAGGCAGTGGGGGACCCAGCAGGGGGGTGTGGGGGGGTTGTGTTCACACCTCTCCCCGCTGCTAAAATACCTCCCCGTGCATCCCTTCCCACGCGTGGTCATTGGGGCTGGTGTGTGCCCCTGACCCCAGAGATCAGGAGCCCTTTCACTGCCAAAGCCCTTATTTTTACTGCTCTTGGTTGGAGATTTATGAATTGAGTCATGTTGTATTCATTTCACGCTCTTAAAATAAAGACTCTGCATATAGCAGGCTGATCTGATTTGTGACACTGAACGCTCCCCTTCAATACTGACATTTTGACAATATAAGAAGGGAAAAAAAAACATATCTCTGATCTGATCTCGCAAACAAAGCAATCGTGGGAGGCAGGATCAAGTCATTCCAGAAGATTCTGCATTTGTCATATTGCAGAGAGGCTAGACTGGGTGGAGGGAGGGAGGGAGTGCTTTAAAGGGGAAAACTGTTCTTTATGTTTGTCTTCTTAGTCAGGTCTGAACCTTTGCTGGGAGCTGGGGTGTCCTCCCCGGCTGATGAAAAGTGAATGCTGATCTGGGAATGTCGCAGTCTGCCGTGGGTGCAGCTCTGTTTGCCCAGATTGCACCATTTTGTCAATAACCTTGCATTTATCAAACAGACAAAACTGTCACAGCCCGAGCCCAGGGAGGGAGGAGATGTCTTATCAAGGAATGAAATACGGATAATCGGGATGAGATATTATCACATTAAACCAGCCGGGCTGTCCCTCTGCTGCACTGTGGCTTTTATACCATTTTCTGATAGCGGCATCTATTCATTTTAAAGCCAAGCCTGCTGTGTGAGCAGATCCTACAGCTCATTTCCTACGGATAATACAGCCGCCGTGACAAAGCCAGCAGGGATCTGCCTGGGACACACAGCCGTGTTGCAGTGTGAATTTGCCTTACCCTGCTTACCCCGGCTGGCTGTTCGAACCCAAGGCGTTGCTAGCGATCATATATACGATTTTTCCTGCCAGTCCTTACAGGCCCTGGTGAAACAGTAACCCGGGCTAACGCCGCTTATCAGCTGCCGTGTAGTTTGGCCGTAAGGAAACGATTCCCAGCGGGAGCGCTGACGCCTCCCGTCACCGGCAAACAAAAGGCAGAGCTTTGTTCTTCATTCCTGCACCGCGCTGCCCGAACCCCGGCACCCCGGCACGGCCTGTCCGGCGGCGGTGGGCATGTCCCAGCCGGTTATCCCTGTGCCTCCCAGCCCCCAGCCCCGGTTGTGCGGGAGGCTGATGACCTCGCACTCATTTCCGTAGCAACGCCTAGTGATGTCATATGCCATGGTCCAAGCTGCAATGCACCCAGGCGGTAGCAGAGAGCATGCGGGCTGCGTCTAGCGAAGGTGATGCAGAGCCATCCTGCCCTCCAAACCGAGCCCTCTGCCTGCTTCCCTGGCACCCTGCTGAGAAATGAAGGATGGCTCTCCTTTAAAACCTGCCGTGGGAATGGTGGGCATGAAAAAGGCTCGTTTTCCTGCAGCTTGATCTCATGGGTGGTGATGTGGGGCAGCTAAGTGGGTTGTTGAGCCTCAGCCTTGCCTGCTTGGGAGACTGTGCTGAATGCCTGTTTTAATGGTTTGACATGGAAATGGTGTGCTGAGGCTCTTGCTGTCTGCTGATTCATCCAGTGATGTCCTGGTTCACAATATTTTCTCTTAAATAATATTTATATGTAATAAGTTCTAGCTCCTTCCCTCCTGCAAGTGCCAGCTGCCAGTGCTCCTAATTGTCCTACCTGCAGTCATGTTGCTGCTGTGGGAGCAGGATGCTCCTCCAGCCCCCCAAAGGGACAGTTTTACTGTGGGGTCTCAGTAAAACACAACAGATGGTCACATTGCCTACCAGAGGTGTTGCCACAGCTGGGAAGGGTGTGGGGCCAGACCCATTGATCCAGGGTATGGCTGTATGACCTTGGTCACGTCCCTTGTCACCTCAGCGCTGTCTGGGGGTACTGTCACCCCTATAAGGTGTTGGGGGGCAGGAAGGCTCTCTGCTGGTCCCCAGGGTGGTGGTTGTGCCTGCTGGTCAGGCCTTGGCCTTGGTCGCTGGGGTTTCACTGCCTGCAGTGCCAGTGGATGAAGCAAGATGCATTTCTGTCTGGTTCAGCTTCAGGAAGAGCTTTACTGCCTGACCCCATGCCAGAGCTGGGGATCGATATCCATTAGCTGGGGAGACTGGTGCTGCTGGAGGCTTTCCGGAGGTGGAGCCCTGCCAAGCCCCTGGCTGGTGCTGCCTGGGGAGCAGAGCATGTGCCTGCCTGTAGACCTTCAGGGTGGGGGGATGTGCAAGTGAATGAACATGATTACAGTAACTTCTGCAGGAAATAAGTCGCCTTTAAAAAGGGTGAGAGAAGCATTATTACATTGCACCTATGTATGATGTAGGTGTGAGACCGTATGGCAGAGACCTGGGGTCCCCTGTGAGGGGAACACCTCACTTGACTTTGGGGACCCAGCCTCTGCAGAGGGTGATGCTGTGCTGTATGTGAGGACCAGCATCTGTGGTGGATGTGGAGGGGGGAACTCTGGAGATGCCAGAAAGCAGATGGCTGCTCCAAGCTTTAGACACCACAACTCGATGCAGTAAATGGCAGTTGTGGGTGGAGGATGGGGAATTGCAGGCCTTCCCTGGCATGGGGTATGTGGGCTTCTGCCATGTTGGTCACCAGCCAGGCAGGTTATCACCCCCCACATCCAGTGACCAGGTTAGCACAGATAGTGGGGCTTCACACAGGCAGCAGGCTTGCCCTTGGAAAATGGGGTAGTAACACAAACCCATCCTATCTGGAGGGTCCTGCGGGAGTGGAGCAGGGTTGATTAGCTGCTTCTGCTTCGCAGCATAGACAGACAAAAGGGTGAGGTGGAAAGGCTTCTCCAGGAGGAGTGCTGGGCAGACCATCTGTGATGGTGGGAGGGGAGCAAGGAGCACGAGCTGCTGTAGTAGCACTTCCCAGGGGGGCTGGAGAAGGCTTTGGAAAAACCATTTCCAGTGCCGAGGTGAATGTTGCAGTCATTTGATGTCGGCATCGAGTGACTGCATCGATGTTCTTGCCACCGCCCCTCGTGCAGGTGTCTTGAACCCTGCTCAGCCTCCTGGTGCCTCCTGGGTCACCAGTGGAGTGCAATGGTGGTAGGGATTTGAGACAGCACAACTGATGAGCAGGGAGCAGGGCTTTTTTGGGGAGGTCTGCAGGGTCAGGACGGGAGGGTGGCTGTCAGGAGCTCCTGCCCTTCCCACCTTGTAACGCTTCATGGTACATTGGAGAGGTAGCAACGTGCCCTGTACATGACTGCCATGGGCAGTGCATCCATTCTTCAGCAGCTCAAGCTCTTAGAAATTCCTCTTTGAGCTCCTGTTAAGTCCTTATCTATGAGTTTTAGGAAGAGTCACTGACTTATGAGACCACGCTCAAGATTTCTCTTTGTTGGCCACGTGTAACAACCAGGTGTGGATTTGATTAGAAATAGCTCTTCTTGAACTAAACTGTGATGAAGAATGTAGCTGTTGAATCCTGTCTGAGTACATGGAAACAGTAATGCTCTTGGGCAAGGGCTTTCCAAGAGCTCTTGGATGATTTGGTCTTGGCCTATAGATCTGTTGGATGATGTCTAGCCATGAAAGTGCAATAAAGGTTAGTGGGAGTTGTCTTGAATTTTTTTAATTTGAGGTTTTAACCTTTATTGTACTGCTTCTTGTGAGTAAAGATGGCTGGCTCACAGAAGACTCCATTTTTTTGGTACACCAAGTAAGCTCCATAATGCCCATGGATAAGCCCTATCTGCCCAACCTGCATTCACAAGCTGATCCCAAAATTGCTCCCTGGAATAGACTCTGTGGACACTGATGATGTGAACTTGGGCTTGCTAGAAGCTTCAGGAACAGCAGTTTAGGGGCAACCACAGAGCTTCACCTCCGAAAGTGTTTTCTGGATTAAAAACTCTTGTGCCTCTGGAACGTTGTTCTGGGCTTGTCTCATCTGACCTGGATGATGTCTTTGGCATCCTTTTAGCAGTTCTC